GTGTTAAGAAAAATTTCCATCAATACCCGAAATCCGAACGAAGGAAAACTAGGACCGAATTGGGAAGGGCCATATCAGGTGCTCGAAAACATCGGAAAGGGATCGTACAGGCTCGGCATTATAAACGGCAAACAGTTATCAAGCAGCTGGAATGTATCACATCTAAAACAGTACTATTGCTAAGGTACAACCTTTGCATATTTGTTTATATCTCAAAATTGACCCCTGCAGAAGTCCGAACAAGGGCTAAGATGCCTCTCTCGTTTGAAAGCACGCGTTGCACTCTTTTTCCCTTAGACCGGTTTTATCCCAAATGGATTTTTCGGCAAGGTTTTCATTGAGGCAACCATTGATCGTGCAGCATTTACAACAATATCCGAGGCTTCGCAAGAAAGTTATTTCACAACAACAGGGTTCCAATAGGAAAAATTGTAAGAGCCAAATGGTCGAAGCGAACCATGCTCATATAGATTGGCCCGAACCCAGGCGTGTAATAACGTGCGAAGAAAGTTCTCTTCTTTATCGACTTCTTATATTCAAGGAAAATTCCTCTATTTTGAGATTTATTATGCAATCAGAATTAAGATAAACTCGACCACTAAGCCTACGGGCTACTTTTATTTCGAGTTCGAGCAAACACTCACTCGATCATTACGCTTACGGGCTACATTACTTCGAGTTCGAATCATTCATTCGATCAAGCCTACAGGCTACTTTTATTTAGAGTTCGAGCAAACATTCACTCGACCATACGCCTACGGGCTACATTATTTCGAGTTCGAATCACTCATTCGATTAAGCCTACGGGCTACTTTTTTTTCAAGTTCGAGCAAGCACTCACTCGACCATTACGCCTACGGGCTATATTTCTTCAAGATCGAACCATTGACAACTAATAAGCCTAAGGGCTACATCGCTCTAAGTTTGAGTAAGCGCTCACTCGGTTACAGAGGCTACGAAGTCCAAATTTGATTAAGTTGTTTAAATTATTGTGAAAACAGTCATAAGGCGTGAATAAAGTCCTCACAAGACAGGAAACAAAAGCAGAAGTAAGTTGGCAAAAAGGGAGATATGTCTATATACAAATTTATCTGCATAGGTGATTACAACGTAAAAACTAAGAACTAAACTTCTCGGTCAGGAGCGGTCTTTATCAGCCCCCCCAATTTTCGAATCCGCTTTTGCTCCCATCGTCATCGTCATCGCCATCAGAAACTAGAGCTTCGGCATCGGCTTCGAGTTCTTTGGCCCTTTTTATCTCTTCAGCGAGATCGAAGCCACGAGCATGGATCTCCTCGAGAGTTTCTCTTCTAGATCGGCACTTAGCAAGTTCGGCGACCCAATGCGCTCGAATATCGGTGGACTCGGCTGCCTCTCTTGCCTGGACTTGGGCAGCTTTAGCATCGGCCCAATAGACGGCCACGAGCACATCCGCATCGGCCTTTGCCTTTTCGGCATCAGATTCGGCCTTGGCAAGTATAGAGGCGAACCGAGCCTCAAGCTCTTCAATTCTTCTTGCTTGAACCAGGCCTTTTTCCTTCATTTTCTGAAGTTGGGTTTCGGACGATGATAACTGGGCTCGAGCAGTCTCTTTCTCTGCAGCAAAGCGGTCCATACCTTCTTTCCACCGCAAAGACTCTGTTCTTATCATGTCGACCTCCTCACGAAGCTTCCCAATCATCTCGATTTTTTGCTGCAGCTGTGAGACCGAAATGTTAGCTATCGTTCCGGTATCAAGCCCATAGGCTTTAAAAAGCATCATTACCTGCTCAGACAAATTGGTCTGATCTCGATAAGCCTTGGCCAGCTCAACTCGGAGGTCTTTTATTTCCTCTTCTCTCTTCCCTAGGGAAAGTCTAAGGGAGTTCCTCTCGTCAGTAGCCCGTTGTAGGTCGGCCAGGTATCGATGTAGCTCATTTCTGGGATCGAGAACATTGTTCTAGATGAACTGCCGCTGCCTACAAAGAAACAAGAAGCGGAGTTAACGAAAAATGAACATAAAGATAGTACCGATAAAATAATTTTAAAAAGCTCACCTGATTCAAAGCCTGTCGCAATCTGTGAAAAAGATCTGATTCATCACCAGCACCAGTAACGTCCTCAATACCGGTAAACAGGTCACGAAAGGGATCTTCTTCATCGTGAGGCCTGTCTAGATTGAGGGCTCCCAGAGCTTGGGCTTCCCGAATCACCCTTGAGGAAAAAGCGGGAAAGGTAGGCGAATCCTCGATTGCTGCTGCCCCAAATGAATTGCCTGGAGCGTTCTCCTCGGTTCGAAGGGGTTCGAGGGCCTCTTCGGTCATATCCCCTGCCGGTTGACTCCGATGAGATGTGTCTTCGATATCCGATAGTTCGGGGACTCTACCCGAATCTTTCTCCGGTATATATTCAATTCGAGACAGAGCCTCACGGAGCATCATCGATCCAACCGGCGATGAGGCATCGATGGTTCTCTTTGTTTGGACCGCCAGTGCAGACTCATCGTTCTCTTCTTCTTCTTCATCATCTTCATCCCTTAAACGCAGAACGGATTCCACGGTCAAAGGGATGACATTCTTGTTCGGCTTACGAGTCGTCCTATTCTTTGGTTTTTGATCCCCGGGAACTGAGGCTCTTTTCCTTTTATTTTCCTTCACCGGCTTTGGGATTGAGGCCGAAATTTCCTCCTCATTGGACAAGGGCCTCAAAACCGCGTCTTTACCCAAACCTGTATATGGAAAACTTTAATAAAATATTTTTAAAAAACCACCTCGTTCGGATCATCAAAGAGTCCGAGAAATGGGCTTACCGTAATTTTTGGCCTCCCACCGACCCTTTGACAAATCACGCCATGAGCGCTCGACGTATGTGGAGGTCAAAACTAGGGCTCGTACCCAGTTCTTGAGATCGGGAATTGCTCCGGCCATCCAGGGAACCGCTAAAAAAAAGGAAAAAAATGAGTGTCGATGAGAGAATAAATGAAAGAAGAAAATAGAAGTAACAGCAAGATCACACTTACGTTTCATATTCTACTCCTCGGGAAATGGCATCTTTTTCAGTCGGAATCAGGTCCGAAGTCCTTACTCGAACGAACCTGCCCATCCAACCCCGGTCCCTGTCCTCGTTAATACTCGAGAACAGAGCCTTGGTAGCCCGACGCTGGAGTTTTATTAACCCTCCTCGAAAAAGTCGAGGACGGTATAATCGGATAAGATGATCTAGGGTGAACGACATCCCCTCGATCTTGCTCATAAAATATCGGATCAGGATAACGATCCGCCACAAAGAAGGATGGACCTGGCCTAGGGTTACCTGGTATTGTCGACAGAAGTCAATAATAATGGAATCGAGGGGACCCAAAGTGAAAGGGTAAGTATACACATTCAAAAACCCTTTCACGTAAGAAGTGATATCTTCGTCGGACGTATGAATTATTATTTCTTTCTCACCCCAATTACAATCCTTCTTTAGCTGTTCGAGGTGCTTCTCGGTTATCGAACACATATACCTCGATATCGGCTCATACCTGCTAGGGACCGATGAACCTTTATCGACCTTAAAATCTGAAGTAAGGACACACGTCCCGAGAACACACTCCTCGGGCCGTGGTTCTGCCGGTGTCTCATCGACGGCACACTGTGAAGATGAAGCCTTCTCTTTTTGAGGAATGGTTTGCGATGTTTTTGCCATTTTCGAATTCAAAGGTGATGAGTAGAAGAAAGTGACAAAGATTTGGTAGAATTGAAGAGGGATTTTTGCGGAAAGAAATCACAGATTTACTGGTAAGTTGGAGAGTACGAAGAATAACTTGGGAAATTTGGAAGATAGAAGATGTAAAAATGGTAAAAGATAAAAGAAAGGGTTATTTATAGGTTTAAGCGATGTCGGTTCAGTATCAACAGTGGGAGACCACCGCTTGACATGCATTAAATGCCTTGAAAGGCTAAACCGACGGGACAGCTACCAGATGCGTCATGGTCGAACCCGATGAAAACGACAGGATATAATCCGATCAAGCTGTTAAAAAAAGTCATATCGTTTCTCGCCACATTCTTTCTGAGAAACAAGGGGACTATTTGTATACGGTCGAAATAGATTTCGGCCTTAGCATGTCCGATCGAATTCGAACGATGATTTATCTAAGTAAGACCCCGAAGGTGGAACAAACTAACCTCGAACTAGGGGAGGCCGATCCGTGTCGGGTTCGATATCATTATCGAGCTCGAATCAAAATCGAACCACGATGCAGAGTAGATCTATCATGCTGATAATCCAGAGACCAACCAACATTGACTTCGAATCAATTCGAGGGTTCGAGCCAGATTCGAATCAATTCGAGGGTTCGAGCCAGGATCAGACTCGAACCAATATCACGAGTTCGAGCCGAAATCAAGCTCAAACAAAAATCGAGGGTTCCAAGCAAGATCGAGCTCGCAGACAAAAGCCGTTGCAATCCCAATAGAGAGAATCTTGGCAGAAACTATGGTAAAGCTGACTTATCATGGGGCTCCCACTGAATGTTTATTTTATTATGCTTAGAGCCAAATCCCTCCACTATAAAAGGGCTTGGTCACTATTTCTATAGGACAAGTTTTTCTTAGGCTTACATTGTAATAAAAGTGCTATATTCTTCTACAGTAAAGAATCGTTCTTTCAGATTTCTTACATTGATTCTATTTGTTGAATCCTAAAATTCATTGTTCCTGACAACCTTATCTATTTCGCATTCTCTGCAATCTATATTTACATTTCTATTGATCTTTATATTTTGTGTTAAGTTACGCCACATATTCTCGGAACTGCGTATAAATTCAACTCTATCTATTTTTCGGGTAAACAATATCTATCCGAAATAGCATGTACTTGTGAAATTAGTCGAAATATAGCAACCACATTATTGAAAAGAACATCAAACTAAAATATGCAAACTTAAGACTAAAGGTAAGGTATGACATAGCAAACAATCCCTCTTGCCACGTGTCCAAAGCAAGGTATAGACAGATACAAAACCAGAAATAGAATCACGTAAACGGTTAACACAAATCTAAAACCCTCCATGCTGCGTCGCTTGCCTCGCCATCGCCAACTCACCTTTCTCAACTCGACCGAGTCAAACCGGTTCAACTCCTTCACCGGCTCAGTTCACCGGTTCAAATCTCTCCCCGCTAAATATTCCGTCGTAATCCCAAGCGGAACTCTAAACTATAAATCATTCTCAACCACCGGGAGCCGTACGCCGGCGAAAATGGGCTCAATTCCGATGACGGCGTCGGTGCTGGAGGATTTTGTTCACGTTGATGGAGGAGGAAGTGCTAATTCGAGTGTAGAAGGCTCGGAGGCGAGTGTTGAAGAGGTAACTTCGGCGAGTATAGAAATGACACCAGGTAGCCGCTTTGAGCAGCCTTATTTAAATATAAGTTGATTTTGAGGCGGCTAAAATTTTAAAAAACATTCGGCTAAAAATGGCTAATTGTGCAGGTGAAGGAGAAGGATATGAAAGGAAGGTATTGCCGGAGGAATTGTCGAGGAGTGTAATGAAGCTCACTTGTGAATCTTCTACGGATGGAGGCATTTGCGATGTGTATGTCGTTGGCACTGCTCACGTTTCTGCGGTACATTTCCTACTTTTTTAATCGTTCTATTAGAAATAATCCTAGAATGGAGAAATTTGAGTGAGAAATGTCCATATTCATCCTATTTGATATCATACAACTAGCAATCACAAACAGAGGTGAAAAGGAAAGTGTCAAGAGCGAATGTTTTACATATTTTTCGTCTGTTAAGTTGAAGGAGGTGATATAAAATCTTATTGTCTGTTTGTTTGTTGCAATTATTAGGTAATTCTATTAGGATTATTTTATAAGGAGATCCAGGTGCTTTTTTGTATTCACACCTCAAGAACTTTTTTACGGCATAAAGTTTCTTAACTTTAGAATTTTATTTTGTTATAATTCGTCCTTCCCATAGTAGAGACTGAATCAGTAGTTCATCCATAATAGTTTGCTGAAATGATGCTCAAACAACATAGGATTGTTAGATATTTTGTGAGCATTGCTTGAGATGTCCTTTAGTCTTGGATTTGAGTTAGCATCTGCTGTACATGGCTAAATTGAAAAATATAATCGAAAATTCTTGAAGTCGAATGGTAGAAGACATGATATAAAGTGATTTTGATTAAGTTCCCATGCCTCTATAAACTTTTCTCGTTACAAACTGAGCTCATATGAATATGTAATTTCTCCATTTTTCGTGCCTCATTTTTCCTATTTTCTCCTTTCTCTTTGCTTCGGTTGATCGAGTTTGAAGCTTTATATGATATAGATTTTTTATCGGGTTAATCATTTATATTAAAGAAAAAAGGGGTGTATGATCATCTTACTTTACTATGCATGGTTACAGGAATCCTGCCAAGAAGTTGAAGCAGTGATCAATTTCTTGAAACCAGAGGTCATACTTCTAACAATCTGTTGATGAATAGCAGCTTGTGGTGCATGCTATATATTTCAATCCTTTTTATGTTTTGAACATCAGTCTGATTCATGCTGAATTGTTGATGATAGGTTGTCTTCTTGGAGTTATGCTCAGGTCGAGTGGGTGTACTCACACCTCAAGATTTAAAGGTTAGTCTTACAATCAGTAGGCAGTCTTTTTATCATTTCAGTAGTCATGTAGTTTGCACAGAATTTTTGGAAACAGAGAATTTATTCGTGTTAGGAGAAAATCCAGCCTTTAGTAGCTAGTGTTATAAGTATTGGAATTGCTTATTCTGTTAGTAGGCTCTCCTTTTATCATTTCAGAGTTTATGTAGTTTGCAGAAACTTTGGAAACAGAGAGTTTATTCGTGCTAGGAGAATATCCAGCATTTTGGGTAGCTAAGGTTTAAAGGTGTACATATTTAGCACATACAGACACATGTAGACAGCATATGTTCGCGTCAACTGGTGTCATTTTTTATTTGTCTCACTTTAGTACTTCATATATACATGTTAGATTGCCATTTTTCTCTGTCTCTGATATTTTGCAATTTGGATTTATTTATTAGAAGTTTTAGGTTTAAACATGTCTGTCCTGACATTACTAAGGCACATTAAGCACACAAGAGTAATGCATGTTCCAGTGGACTGGCCATAAGCCATGAGAAAAGTCCAGATACATTCAAGGAATCAAGGGTTTATCAGATGGTGGGTATGTTGTTATGTCATCTCGGTCATGGACACAGATGAAAAGAGAAATGACCTTTTGATATATGCTATGCCAGAGAACACAATTCTCTGTCACTCTCGCTCTTCAATGCACATGTTTTTTCAGCATCATGGTAATAATGTCTTAAGTGGCAGACATATCAGACACCTACTTTTTCTAAATTTCTATGTTATAGATACAAATAAGTATATTCTGTGATCCTGTCCTTGCTTGATTTATCATTTATTTGAGTAGTTTCATGTTACCTTGGTGTTTGTAACATTTAGCTGTATTACTTTGTACCGTGCGAGGTGTTGTGGTGGATCTTCACTTTCTCCTCTTCAGGTTGAACTTCTAATATACTCAATTCTGAGATGGCCAGGTACCAACGATGGGAGAAATGGTGAAGATGTGGAAGAAAAATCAAAATCCATTTGGGATACTCTACAGCTGGTTTCTTGCCAAGGCATGACCGATCTCAGAAGTCGTCTTTACAGTTTGGAAGTGCTACTTTGCTCCTTACCTCTGGTGCTCTGGACATGCTGATCACTCATTGAATCTATGTTGCATTTTAGGTTGCTAGCAAGCTTGAGGTTTTTCCTGGGGCAGAGTTTCGTGTGGCATATGAAGAAGCAATGAAGTACGGTGGGAAAGTGATTCTTGGTGACCGTCCTGTACAAGTAAGATGTTTTGATTCATTCCATTGTTGAATTTGTTTGTTTGCTTCTGTGTCTTAAAGTTATCACGTGCATCCCTTCTGTAACTGGATAATGTTTTTACATCACCACATATCTCTTATGATCATGGCAGAATTGAGGTTTCTCTCATGTTGTGTCTGGTGAACATCAGAGTTGGTAAAGTAGGAAACGTATCGCCCCTCCTCATCTCTCTCTCTCTCTCTCTCTCTCTCTCTTTTTGACACACTAGAGTACCACTTTCATGGAGTGCAGGATCTGTATAATATGAAGTTTCTTAATGCTTTTATGATGTTATCAGCTTACAATTACTCTTTCTTTGGCAGTGTTTTCTACCTGAAAAAAGAAGAAAGAAACAGTTTCACATATTCACTGTTCCTGCTCGATATCTTAGGTTTTCCTTCTGTTTTTCAGTTTAATGAATTGTTGTATCTATATTATGAACAGGTGACATTACGAAGAACATGGGCAAAAATGCCACTTTGGCACAAGACAAAATTGTTATACTCTTTGTTGTTCCAAGCAGTGTTTTTACCGAAGCCTGGAGATCTCGTCAAAATGGTAGGTTCCTTGCATAAGATTTTACGAAGTTGCCCCTCTCTGCATAGAGTAATTTGATTTTTGAAGAAGAGTATCTTATGTTGCTTATACCAAACTATTTTTGGTGAGCAGTTGAAGAAAATGGATGATGTTGACATGTTGACTCTTGTAATTCAAGAAATGAGCAAGCANTGGTTTTGTGAATTAAAGGTGTTATGACATCTGTGGCTTTGAGTCTAAAATCAGGCACTACTGTCAAGTTTGGTATCTGTACTTAGGATTTTAGAATTATATGGCTTTTGTCTAAGTTATTCCAGATCAAAACTTTGAGAATACACTGATTAATTGCTTCATATGTCTTTGGATATTCTCTCTTAGTTTGATATGGATACATTTTGGTATAGGCTGTTCGACGATGCCTTCCCGTATGTACGCGTATAATCAGAATTAATATGAGTACAGGGACTCATATATGTCGTGCAAGGTCTAGAGCATGAGGACGGTGCTCTATCTCTCAGTTGTGCGCATTTAGTGATAGGGATAATGAGAGAGTTTTCCCCAGGAATCCTCCGTGTTTCATTGCTTATCATTTTTCCTATGTTCACTTCTAGTTTTCCCAGAGCTTCATTGCTCATCATTTTTCCTTTGTTCACATCTAGTTTTCCCAGAGCTTCATTGCTTATTACTTCCTCCATTCACTTCCAGCTTTCCCAAGGAAAAAGGCACCGTTGCTGTAGTATAGTCCTTAGTCTTGAATGAAATATCAATGTCTGATGGTGGCAACAAACTTTACCCCACCCCCCAAAAACAAAAGAGAGGGTGGTATCAAGAGAAAAGTCGTTGATGTACTAACTAATGATTGTTTGGTGGGACTAAGGAAAGAGGATATAAAGCTTATCAGTTTATTTCAGCTTAGATGTCATCAGTCTTCAGTTTATTCAGCTACAGAATGGTAATTACCAATGAGTTATAAGTCCTATATAAGTGCTTGGCACAAATTATTTCATTTATCTAATCAAACAGCCTAATGGTAACATCATTCTTCCCGCCTTGCAAATAAAAAAAAGTTCAAAAGAGTGATTGAACCGACATTATGGTTTTGATATTTGACAGTCTTGAAAGTGATTACTTGTATCATTTAAGAAATCTGAGGAATCTCTGTGTGTGTGTGTGTGTGCGTGCAGGTTTATGTCATCAATGCTACTAAAAGTTGCCCGTGAACACAACTCTGTTGTCGCAGTTGTTGGTAAGGGTCACCTGCCAGGAATCAAAAAGAACTGGAAGCAACATATTGAGGTAACAAGCATTTATTCATAGTGACAATATTAGTAAGACTTGAATTCTCGCTGTTGTGCATCGAGAAATATATGAATTTGCTTTCCTATTCGTTTAGTTTCTAAGACTTAATTTCAGCTTCTTACCAGTAACTTATGGAAGGCACTTAGTTTACTGATTCACTGCCACAGGTTAAGGAACTGCTATCAATACCCTCGCGCAAGCCTGTCATTACTGTCGCGAAAGTTTTGACATCAATTGGAGCTGCAGTTGCAGGAGTGACCATAATATCTGGCATCTATGTTTCAAGCAAGAAATAATCATGATAGATGTCTCAGATGTACGTGTCTTGGCTTTCAATTTAGACATCATCGAGGCTAATCTATTGCGACTCACAGCATCTGAAGCGGCCGTGCATTGCTACTGCTCTTCTACATTTTCAGCAGTTCAGGGTCATTACATGGAGGAAAGGGAAATTGTCATTTTGCAAAATTTCCTGTGGACATCTTTTCTAAATTCTAAAAAACTGGAGACGGACAGATAATGAGAAGTAATTTTCCTATAGCACTTCGCTTGTTCACTCCACATCTGTTATGATCCCCCCTTCCTCTCCAAATTTCGCTTGATCTCACTGTTTGTGTCTTCTGAAAATGGTGCACTGGCTGCTCAGCTTGTTCTCTAATTTGATATATTTAGCCTGTCATTTTGTTAACTGTAGCTGAATCTTGGTCATATAACAGAGCAACATAAATTGAACACAGGTAGATGCATTTCCTTTGCCCGGCAGAGAAAGGTACACAATGGACTTTTGACTGTTCAACCAATTGTGAGGCCATATACTGGGCAGATGTATCAAACCCCCGTCCCCTAATTTCCAGTTGTAGTTTTATTCGAACACTTTAGCACATTAGACAGCTTTCTCGAGTCTTGGGGGCAGAATCGGCCTTCCAATTTGGCTGAGTTGAAATTGAACATTATGACAAACTAGCAATAGAGGTAATCTGATATCGGGAGCAACCCTCTTTCCTTTTGGGTTTTTGGCAGGGGACTTGAAGTCAGTAGTAGCTAGTGTAACCTGAGGAGAATGTTTTTTTTATCCTAGTACTTCACTAGGTCCACATTGCCACGAATTGCTTGATTACTTTGTTGATTTGGCCCAGATTGTCGCAGAATTGTGCTATTAGCTACCAGTAGGGAATTAGCAGTAGAGGAGTTTTTGATTTACTGTTCTTATTGACAAGATTTATTTGACATAAATAGTTTGCGTAAGCGAAAAATGTAAGCTTGCGTTCCCCGGATTTGCAATGTCACTGGTATATAGATCCATTTATTAGGCAGTAGGCTGCACTGAAGGTTTTCTTGGGGCAAGTGCATAGATAGCAATTCTTATGGATATTATTTAGATATTAGCCGGTACTTATTTTGTCCTAAACTTTTAAACTAAAAATCTTAATTTCGGGACAATTCACGACATTTTTATCCTGAAAAATTGAAATTCAGGACACACTGGCTAATTCCTAAATAACAGTTCTTTAGATCGGATATCTGGTATCATTTCTACGGTTTTTTCCTCCTTTTTTCTTTGGGTTTTTCCCTTTGTGGTTGATGCTTCTTTTTAAACCTTAGACTATCCCAAACTCATATTCTCATCATTCATTTTTTGGCATCAGTTAGGCCTTTAAACTGCCATTGTGGTGGTGTCATTTTTCATGTAGAATTTTGTTTGCTAACTTAGTACCGTCACATTTGTTCCAACATAATATATGCCTGACAATTATTGTTTTCTTTTTTATTTTCTAAATAAGATTTATTTATTCTATAGATAATTCCATAATATAGAGTAAAAGAGAAAAAAATATAATATTAAAAAATTTAAAAAGGATAAAGGTTATAACTTGGAATAAAATAGAGTTTAATATTAAAAAAAGATAAGAGTTAATAATTTAGATGGTAAAATAGGTATTTGACCACCGAAAGTTTGAAAAACTAGTTAAGTGACCTTCTGAGTATTATATAAATAGTTAAATGATTTTTTGCTATAAACAAAAGAAATACTGTATGATTTTACTAGGTAGTTTTAGATAGTTGAGTGATCATTTGAGTAGTAGATTGTCTTTATAATCGAATTCGCTAAGTTAAGAGTGGCGTCTATACTTAGCACAATTGTCAATATGTCCTCATGAGATGCTTGACAAAGTGAGTATTTCTCCATATTTTTTGGATTTGGCCAAGGAGGGTGAGAGGAAATTACAGGTTGAATCATTGACTCTTATCAAATATTTAAAATAATACTTTCTTCTGGCCCAATCTATGCAATATTCCTTTTTTTAGCATGTCTCAAAATTAAAAGAATTATATTTTATCTTTATATATTTTAAAATAATTTAACTTTAAAAGATTATGTTTATCGTTAATGAGATGATCATTTATAGTCATACAAACTTTTAGAACAAGTTTTAGACTGGCCACAAGTTCAAAAATCTTTTTTCCTTTTCGTCAAACTTTGTGAGACGGAAAGAGTAATAATTATAATAAATAAATAAAGATTATGCCACAAGAAACTGGATTGATTTCCATTTTCCTCTCACCCTCACCCAAAAGCATGGAGAAAAACTTATTTCGACAAGCAACTCGTGGGGACATACTGACAATGGTGCTAATAGAGTAAACGCCATTTTTTTTGTTTTATTTGGTTTCCATCCAATATCCAGTATTCGCATTGGGATACTGATTGATTTGTTTTTTCGCGGCATAAAACCCATCAAAGAGAAACCGTTCTTTATTAAGATCTTTTCATTCGTAAGGTTTAAACCCATAAAATTTCTGGTTAACGATGAATGAGTTCTATCCTATTTATCGCATGACAATCCTTAGTGTGAGTGTACGCCATTCTTAACTTCAGCTAATTCGATAACAAAGAGCATGTGGTTGGTCGTCTCTTCTGCTTATTCTATATCAAATATATTTGTATAAGCCTTTTAGGAAGAAAAACAATTCTCAACAACAACTGAATATTGAAACAACTAATTAAGTTGGCGCATGCTAAACAATGAATTTTGATTTGGAAAATTACATCTAATACGTTCATAATAATTGTGCATGCGGGGTCTAAGGCTTTCAATAATAGGTAATTATACCTGCTATACATGGCTGTCAAGCTCATACATATCGACATGTAAACAGAGGTGAATTCAGATTTAAGTTCTATGGGTTTAGTAACTAAGATTAATTTTTAGTATTAAATCTATTATATTTTTAAAATTATGGGTTCAAATTAACATGCTACGTATTGTAATTTTTTGTAGATTTTTATATATAATTAATTCATGTTCTGCATCGAAAGTATTGAATTCAGATGAACTCGATGCGGCAACACTATATCCGCCTCTGCATCGAAATCAGGAGCGGACCCACCTTGTATGAAAGGGGTTCAATTGAACCCGCTTCATCGAAAAAATTAATTATTTTTACTTGCGAATTTCATCAAAAAAGCATTAAAGGGATAAATACTAAAGACTTGAAGCCACTTGACACAAACAAAGTTGCGGAGCAACGGTCAAGTGGGTTCAAAATAAGTCTAGGGTTGGCGATTTGAACCTCCGCTAAAGCACTGAATTGAAGCATCATTTCTTTTTAGCTTTGTCCCCTTTTGCTAAACGGCATTTTGAACACACGTTTGAATTCATCTTCCACTTCATCACTTCTATTATAATCGTAGGAGTATATTTTTTTGCTTATTGTTGCCTTGCTTTTCCTTTCCTTGTCTTTGTTTTTTACTTCTTTTTATGATTCCTTGCTATCCTTATTAAACTTCATTTTAGTTCAAAAAAATTTAAAGCTTTCTAGGGTGAATTTTGGTTCTCTTTTTCATATTGCTAAAAGAATGAGAGTGCTTTATTGAAATTATTTGTAATATTTTAATTTAATTAGTTTAGTTTATATTAAAATTATTAATTTGTGTTATACTCAAAATTTTAGTTTGGAGTACAATTTCTTTAATCATTTTGGATTAATTAGTTTAGTTTAAAACTCATTTTGCCGTGTCTTTTGTTTGTAACTTTGTACGTTGTATTTCTTGGAGTTTTAATACGATTTTTAAGTTGGTTAAACACTCTTTGGTTAAAATTGCTAAATATTCTGAAATAAAATTTATTAATTTGTATAGATAAATTTTAAAAATTTAAAGTAAATAGATTTTCTTTTTTCTTTTTTAAAAAATTAAAATTTCCCCAATATTTTTAAAAAATGACTTCATTTTGAAGTCATGTGATGAAAACAAAAAAAAAGAGCATTGCGCAAATGGTGTTTATTGGTGCACTTATATAACTGACTACTGTGATCTCTTACTAAACTCGCTTGTACAATATCCTGGGTCCGTCTGATCGAGATGTTGAGATGCATGTTAATTAAATAAACACAATTGATGCTGTTCTGCAATTTGTTTTTCTCAAAATCGACTCAGTGAGATAAGGTATTTGATATGAACAGCAAAAGTAGGTGTCGAAATAGTAAAAATAAATTCGAAGTCAAAGCTAATTAACAAATGTTTTTTGTTTTCAAAATTGGAACATGATAGTACCTAATCAAAATATTCACCAGAAACCACCAACTTAATCGTACCTAATCCCTAGTAGCCCTACAACCATAAAGTAAAACAAATACACTTAGTCACTATCCACAAGTAGAGAGAAATAAATTATACGAAATTAGTTAATAGACTAAAACTAGTAGTTGTAAAAGAGTTTAATTTTCATACACTAAAGACAAAGTTTTTAGACGATAAGAAAAAGTTGATGTACAACAACACAGATAATTGTCAATATTGACTGTAACTCTTGTTTGATAACATAAAAAATAATGTAAATAGCATGTGATAGCCGATTAAAATCAATATAGCATAACATTTTCTATACTATCAATATATTACTTCAAGAATTTACAACTTATGATCGTCACGACCCAAATTTCACCTATAGATCATGATGGCGCCCAATATCAAAGCTAGGCAAGCCAACTAGTGAATTAAACATATATTTTCTTTTTTCATAAATTTTCGAGAAATTAAACTCTTGAAGGTTCTAATTAAATAAAACCAAGAAAATACTTAATTCATAATTCTACTAGTGTATGTGCCAAAACTTGGTGTCACAAGTATATGAGCATCTAGTAGATTATACAAAAAAAATCTAAAATATTGTCTGAGCACAAAATAGACAGAAAACAAATAAAAGGGAGACTCTAGGTGCTGCGGAACGGCTCAGGAGAAGCAGCTCAGCACTAGGCCTCAGGATAGCGTGGGTGCGCACCGGTTGGTCCGCCTAAGGTTCCTGTCTTAGATCCTGCACAAAAAGTGCAGCAAGCGTAGCATGAGTACGCAAACAACGTGTACCCAAACTTTGACACTCACTATGGGTCAATAATATTAAAATAGAAATATTTAAATAAACATGGTTTATGTAAATAATAATAATCTTCTTAACAAGCGGGAATAAATAATTCTTTCAAATTCAATAATTTTCAATTAATCATTTATCTTCACAAGCTGTGATAGGAGGTCAAGGTATCGTGTAATTATTATTATTAAGCACGATTTCTCCCGAGGTCGTACGACCCAATCCAGAGTGTCGTGCACACTGCCGAAGGACGTGCGGCACGATCCATAGATGCATCTATATTTCCGAGGCGTTCAACCCGCTCCACAAGAAAGGAGGACATTTTTTTATGAACCTCTGGAATGAGAAGTTATTATAAGGCTTACAC